AAATAAAGAAATCGGAAAAAAAAAATTACAAGAAATCACTAACGAGACGACATCTTGACTAATTCCCCCTCCCACGATGGTCGAAATTCCTGTGGAACTACAAGAGATCCGATCCGCATCACTATCCCTCAATGGGAGGAGCTTTGTTTTCTTTCCATGATGCTTCCGGAATCGATCTATCTTTATCATGACAAAGTCATTGTTTTATTGTCTCTGAGATAACTCAAGTACAAAATCTATGCTCATGCTCATCCTTGACAACTTTGAACACCTATGTTATCCCAAGTCTATTATGGTAGAATAAATAACCATTTTTCTTTGGCACAACTAGAGCTAGAATCGCACATAGGCGAGTGTTCTCACTAACCAAGCCTCAAACTATTAAAGTCTATAACTTGACAAATCTATTGGGAAGAACCGGCCTTGGAATGAAACCTATGGCATGTTGGACCCTTTTTTAGTGGTGACATCTAAAGAGAGAAACTTTTCGGCAGGGCATCCAAAACTCTCTTAGCATGGGTTGTTTTGTGTTTGGTATAAGGTCTGTATACTCACTATCTTCTAGGACAATTAGTGCTAGTTTTTGCACCTAACACACTTTCTGACTAGAATTTGGGTTTGTTGGTCATCTTCATTTTTTTCCCCTCTAGATTTGTTTCTCCTCAGGCGGGGTCAACATGGATGCTCCACTAGATGTATATTTAATGCTTGAACCTGGGGTTGAACTCGACCAGTAAGGTGTGGCGGTCACCTAATGACGTTGTTGTGTCTCCACATTCAAAGTTAAGATATGTACAGTGGGTAAGGACCAATACAGCTACAACTGTACTGATAGAAGGCCTCAATCCTCTAAAGATACTCCACTACTGTATGCTCCTCTGGTTCCACCCACTCACATTTTAGCATGAGTTGATTAAATTCAACAATGTTTTCCTCTAAAGAAGAATTTCTCTGACACAAGTTCTGATGTTTTATGAACATATTCTTTCGGTAATGCAGGATATGATCGTTGTGATGCATTTCTTTTTTTATCTTCAATCGGGTAGTGATTTTTTTTTTCCTGACACACTACCATAAGCACTTCAAATTTTCAAGAATGCATTATTCCCAAGCTTGATGACTATTATTTTAACTCTTTTTTTGAGGAATTTTTTTTGTACTGAAAAATTCATTCCACTATTTGAAGTCACTCAATGAATTCGTTCGGATATATGCAACTGTTAAAATTTGTTAAATCCACCTTTACTTTAAATTCTTAGCTTCTTCTTTGATATTTTATGCCAATTAGACAAGACATTTACTCTACGTCACTCTAAGCTTTTTGGTGGAAGGGATAAAATTCCTCTCAATCTAGCAAGTCACTGTCATGATTATGACAATCTCACTGAATTTTCTTCTCTTAAAGGCAACAAGTTCTTGTTGGAGTTAGGGGATTTTTTACTGTATATTTTCCGTAATAATTTCCTGAATACTTTGTTGAGAGCATTTTTTTGGCGGCTTCCAATGGAATTTTCGATGAAAAATGAAAAGGAAATTGTTGGTCAAAGGTTTGTTGAGTGCTTAAGATTTTGGTTGTAAGTGTCAGGACAATTTTTCTAGTGAGAGTTTGAGTTATTTGAAAGCCTTAAAAATTTACGGTTTTTTCGGACTCTAATACTAAATGACATAGTTCTAGGGCTCCTGAAAGGTGTTTAGAAAGGGAATTTTGCGAGGAAGTGGTTGTGGAATAATAAGAAAGAGAAAATGTGGATTATCGACGGATTTGGAAGGGGATATGAGGTGAATTTTGATGTTGGACAGCAGATTCAACATAGTTTGATGTTTGATCTTTTGGAAACAACAGTCGAACATTGAAACGGGTCGGTACAAATGTTGAGGCAAATCCACCATTTGTTTCTGGGCAAGCTACAAACACTACTTACAAAACAAAGATGCTACAACACTGCGTAAAACCAAGCTAAGGCTCAAAAACAATCAAAATACATGTATAAATAGTCTCATAATTGAAATGACCATTATCATAAATAAAGAAATAAGAAAAAATCAAAATAACAAAAAATAGTGTAGAACTTGCTATCAAACGACGTCCTCGTCATTTTCCCCTTCTGTGATCACAGGGGGAGTTTCATAGACCGTGAAAGATCTGTTCCGCGTCAATGGATCGAATTCATATTAGAACATTTAAAACTAAAATGAAAAAAACTTATAAAAATATACTATGACAATAAATTGACCATCATTAGTGCGCACACAATCTTTTGAGGTTGATAGGCATCTTATAAAAGAAATTTTGAAAAGTGGGTTGGTCTGTATTTCGTATGCCTATAAAAAATCAACTGATCAACATATTCACTAAATGACTGCAGCTCCACATTCAAAACCTTTTGACAAACTTAAAATGTTTTATATCTACCATCCAATTTGAGGTGTTAAATTCACGTCTCTTTTTTTGCAATAAGGTCCACTCACTCTCCAATTATATAGAAAAAAAGCTTATGCACACAGATCAAAACCTTATATCATTAGATCTATTTCTCTAAGTTTTGAATTGCAATTCACGTGCTAATCCATTTCTCTGAGTTTTCAATATTTTTATTTATTCATATTGTGTAATATCATGTGTGCACACATATATATATACGGTCTGCCAGGGTTTCGCCTCACGGCGAACCCTAGCCTCTTCTGCTGTAATTCCACGCTTGTAGAAGAAGGGGGTACGCTCCACTGTTTCTGTCGTCTGCTTCGTCGAGCTGCGTTTGTGCTCACTGCTCTCTGCATGTTGTAGGGTCGATCACGCTCTGCCGCTCCGTTTCCTGATTTTAAGGCGTCATCTCGCCACTGTTCTTCTGTGCGGCTTTTGTCAAACTAAGGTTTCGACTCTGTCGAGCTCATCTGCGGTTCTTGTTTGCGGTTTACTGTCTTCTGCGCAGCGCCCCGACCTCTTCACTCTCTGCCCAACTTGTTGGGCTTCTCTCTGACCCAAATCATGAAACTCACACTGTACCGGTATGGTTTAGTTTACCTGGTCTCAAACTGCATTTTTTTCACCATCATGTTCTCTACTCTATTGAGGTCTTCCTTGGGGATCCTTTGAAGCTAGGTATGTCTACTTTCAACCTAACCAGACCCTCGGTGGACATAATACTTGTGAAAATTGATATTACTTTATCTGATGTTATTGAAGTCTGGCTGGGCACAACCCATAATGGTTATTGACAACAATTGGTCATGGAGCACAAACCCCCATATTCTACCCACTGTAAGATGTTTGGTCATGTCCTTGATAAATGCCACAAGTTTCATCCAAATTTGAAATCTAAAGTTCAAGTGAATAAAGTAGGTCTAACCTCACTGCTCTGGACATTTTAATTCCACCTGGGGAAGACCAGATATGAGGTGTCTGTTGCCCCTGAGGAACCCTCCCATAACACTGTTGTTACTGTTACTGCGAGTGATGTGATGCTAGCACCTTCAAACCCCCTAGAAAACAATACTGATGGACTATTACCTACAAGTGATAGTGTTCAGACTGATAATCAAGAGAGCTTCGTAGCTCCACTTCTTCAGGAAGCTTTCGGTGTAGAGGCAACTCATACTGCACATATACTAGAACCTAGTGTGGGTACTACGGTTGGTAATTCTTCTGCTTAAGCTCCACCACCCCATCAGACTGATACTTCGGAAGAGGAATGACAGGTCTATTCCATGAGGAAGAAGAATAATGGAGACCGACTCTAGCTCGGGAACATATTGAATGATACATTGGTTACTACTGACAATGACAATCATCTTACCAGCTTATTAGCTTGCTCCTGCCCTAGAAGCCCTAGAACTAGAGGCAGAGGCAGCAGAGGCATGACCAAATCTGGTCGCTCTCTAGCCACCTGATACTATGTATTTCGGCACTGTTAGGTTTTTTATTTAAGTATATATATTTCTATATTTCTTCTTGTACAAAAAAAAAAAAAGTCTTAAAGAATTGTTCTCTATTGTTTTATTTTCTATAATCTACAAAACAAAAGGTAATTATAGGTCCTCAAATCTCAAGTGCACCTACCCTCAAAATAAAGTCTTTAGAACACAAACCAAGTATCCTCACCATAATGTTCTCATCTTAAATATCTGAAACCGCCAATTCTCTAAAAGGCCCTAGATGTCAAGAGGGTCTCTTTTGCTTGGGAGCCCCAGCAGAGCCTGCTGCTAAACACTCAAAGAAGAAATATGATGCCCATGCTGAAAATAAAAAACCCCGAGACCAATCTCATAATTAGGATTGTCTTATCATTATTTTTATTAAGTAGTATCTCTAGAGCGCTGCCAATTCTTCAAGAAACTAGCAATTGAGAGTTTAGATTGCTTGAAATTCAATAGAGAGATCGAGAGGGGTCTTTTGCTTGCAAACTCTAGTCAAAGCCTTCAAATTCGCTAGTTGCATTGCACCCAAGAAAGGATTTTACGAATCCCTACTTGAAAAATCATTTATGAGAAAGGACTGCATATTTCTGGCCATATCCCACGAAATTTTGATGCGGATATCTTTAAAAAAAATGTATGTGAATATTCCAAGATAAAAAAACTCATTTATAAATTGTAAAAAGTCAAATACTTGAGGATTATAGATAACCTATTTAATATAAAAATAGAAAACGTAGTTTTCTTCTTAAAACATTGAAAAGATATAATCATAACTGTTTTTTTTAACATGTTCTTATTTTATCTTGTTGTCCTGACAACATATTATGATATCCTGATTCAATTATTTCTCCTGATGTCACGTCTTTATTTGCAAATCTAGAAGTAATAATCTAAAATGTCCAATCTTTTGATTTATAAATAAAGAATATTGGCCCCTAATAGTGTCAAATATAATGTAACATAACTTAAATTTTTATGGGATAACATCTCTAATTGCTTTGATGATATTAGTATTCTTCTCAATTCTCCATGCCAATAAGATCAACTTATAACTCACCACTTGAACCTTCAAATATCAACTGCAGGAAACAATACCGGATGTTCGCGTCTAATTGAAGATGGAGCACTCCCCTGGATAGTCAAAAATGCCAACAATGAAGCCGCTCCAATCCGGCGCCACATTGAGCTCGCCCTATGTCACTTGGCACAACATGGTACGTAATTTACGCATCCTCAGACCGAACTGTTTTTACTATAAATAGTGTAAATCCGGATTTACTAAATCCAGCATATAGGCAAAATTGAGAAGAAAACTAAGAACCATATTTATGGAATTCAGGATTTAAAACTGTCATTTTTACTGTCTAGCAAAATTTAAGTGAAGTCCCACTTAAATCCATTACCAGGCAGCCCCTAAAAGAGCATTATTGATTGTCATAAACTCATTATCATCACTAAATATTTCATTCATTATTATTTTTCCAGAAGTAAATGCCAAGGATATGATCACTGAAGGCGCCCTGTGGGAGCTAGTACGCATTTCGAGGGACTGCTCTCGAGAGGACATTAGGATGCTTGCTCGCAAAACTCTCACTGCCAGTCCCAAGTTTCAAGCCGAGTTACGACGATTGCGCATCGAGTGTTGATCGGTTTGTTGCATTTAAGCACAAAATCTGTGCTTTTCCAGGAATCGCAGATGATCCAATCTCAAGTTTTCTTCAGAAAATCTTCCTGAGTTCGGAGGAAAGATCAGAATCAATTCTCTCATTATGAATGGAGTTTAGGAATTGCTCTCTTTATTCATAATCCTTGAATTTGTAATGCAAGCTATATGCATTTATTTGTATGAATTTTCCCTTTTTTGATCCTGATTAGTTCTTCCAGTTGAGCCATATTAGCAGCCCAAGTTTTGTATAAATTTGTATATGACAAGGGTTAAGAGAAGAATGGTTTTAAAGCTTGATTGGAGAAGAATATATGTGGGATCATATTATTTCTATAATCCGGAACCATATTTTTCCAGCTGCAGGAGTGTCCAAAAAAATGTTTGTTCTTGGCTTGTTCTATTTTGTTCTCATTTTGCTTTATTTTCATTTATTTTATATTTGAAAATTGTGTCTGGAGATTATATTTATCTATTTTTTTCTGCAATAGAAAATATAACAATGTTTGTGGATGAAAAATACAAAATAGGAGAATGTATAATTAGAGCAATGTATTATTTAGGGTCTGTTTGGGGCAGCTTATTTAGTGCGGTGATATTTTGAAAACGCATCTGGACTGTTTGGATAAACTGCATTTTAACAGCTTATGTTTATTATTTAGGGACCGTTTGGAGCAGCTTACTTAATGTTCCATATCTTGTAAAAATTATTTAGTGTGGTGGCATTTTAATCAGCTTATGAGCAGATTATTTAATAAGTTGTAGCTGTCCCAAACAGACCCTTAACCTTTACCGAATTCTATCGAAATGATTGCTTAAGCTTCAACAAATTACCAATCAATTATAATCGCTTTTTAATTAAAAACTAATTTTTTTTATTTAAAGTTAATCATAGCTTAATACAGTTAATAAATCATTTGATTATTTTATGTAAATTATTATGAATAAATATCACTAAATTTATTGAACATTACTGATTCCTAATTACTAATTATTTTAGTTGTTTACAAATCAATTATTGATTGCAAATTAAGTATTTAACAAAATATTTATTGTATAATTAAAATCATATTTAACATATAATTAACAAGTAATTTTCAAATGATACCTTGAATCACTGGTATCCTAAACAATTATATTTGATTTAATCATAATAATAAAATCTTAATCAAATCAAATAGAAGTTCTAATACTCAAACAAATTAAGCGTTTCAAATAAAGTATTAGTTGGAATTATGAAAAAATACCAATAATATTAATATAGATGTTGAATGGCTTAGCCTGGATTATTATGATAAAACAAATTAAATTTTAAAGAACGTAATTTATAATCATATTAATTCTAAATTAATTTTAATTTGCAAAATATTAAGAATTATTTATATAATAATTATTTAATTAACACACTGTCCCATAACTAATTATTAAATTAATTTGCCTCATTATTTATAATACTTAGAATTCACTCACTGCTCCGTAACAAATGAAGTATTAGTTGAAATTATGAAAAAATACCAATAATATTAATATAGATGTAAACCCTAGAAAAACTTATTAGCACACGCCAACTTATATTCTTTTGTATGATTGCAAGCTTGCCTTTTTTTCATACAGCAAAAAGGAAGAATCTTTGATCGTACTTTATTGCATTATAAGAAATATATTTTCTTGCATCTGAAGCAAACTTTATGTGAGAACATATCTGAAGTCAAAATTTGTCCTAAGAAGTTGAAATTGAACATTAGAAGCCAAAATGTGAGGCTGAAATCCTAACTTTTTTTTTTTCGGTTGGATAAATAAATAATTAATTAACCAGGGTCCCAATCGTCGAATTAATTAAGGGGCCTAATTTTTCTGTGCGGACTCCTGACGTAGCTCTACGTGTCGCAGAGGTTATTCCTGAGTTATTTTCAGGTTATTTATGGGTTATTTTTAATAATTCCAAAATAACCCTCGGTCTTTATTTTTGGGTTATTTCAGTGTTATTTCGGGATTACTGAGAATAACCCAGAAATAACCTGAAAATAACTAAGGAATAACCTCTGCGGCACCTAGAGCTAAGTCAGACGTCCGGACAGAAAATGCGCTCGCACGCCACACAGTTCTTATACATATTTACATAATATTTATATTCAAAACATTTTAATGTTATAAATTTATGCATAAAAGAGTAATGTTTATCTTTAAATATTAATAATAATGATAAGTTTCATATCATATTCAGGATATAAATATGACTGTGATTCTTATGAAGCCTATTTATTATCTTATCCAAATGGCTACACATGTAAAAGAATTGTTATAAATGCTCCAATAAATAAAAATTGAACTACCATGAAAACTTTTTTAAATCTTCACAAAATATTTAATTCCAGAGCCTTTTTTTTTTTTTTTCTTAGAGTTGTTTAAGAATGAAAAGTACTACTAAAATCCCAGAAGGAAGCAATTAAATATATACTCCCATGAATGTATGAAGGCATTATAATTATTTTGAACAAATTAAATTAATACTATATTAGTTTATGGATTTTATTTCTTGTTAGAAGATCTTATAATTTTTTCATTCACAGAGGAGAAAGACGATGAAAGTGACTGCAGATTTCATTGGATTATAGTAATTTAATTTCGATTATTATGAGTGTCAATTAATTGAAAAGACGAAAAAAAAAAAAACATAAAGATTAATATTAAAGTTTTAACCTAAAATTTTTAAAATTTTATTTTCTCCTAGAAAATATTATTGCAATTAGGGCTGTCAAAATGGCTTGTTGTTCGCGAACAGCTCGTGTTCGGCTCGTTAATTTTGTTCGATAAGTTAATGAGCCGAACACGAACTAAGATGTGTTCGTTCGTGTTCAGCTCGTTTTGCCTCGAAATACTACTCATCAACTTTATATATATATATATATTAGTATTTTAAAAAAATCTAATTGACTACAAGACTACAAAGATTTATAATCAATTAAAATATTGATTAAGAAAATAGAATAAAAATTATTAAATTAGATTCAAATGATGTTTTAATATAAATAATAATTTTTGAATCTTGCTAAAATCTTCGTTGTCTCTTTGTTCGTGATTAGGGTTGTTAAAATGACTCTTTGTTTGTGAACAGCTCGGTTTCTGCGCGCTTAATAAGCAAACGAGCCGAACACAAATACACTTTTTGAGCTCGAAATATAAACGATCGCTCGTGTTCAGCTCGTTTACACCCCTAATTGCAGTTATGATTTTAGAAGAATTTTATTAACTTAGTAGAATGGTTTATATTATTAAAATATTACTGATACACTTTGAGATGCATATTAATTAGCTTATTATTATTATTATTATTATTATTATTATTATTATTATTATTATTATTATTATTGTGTGCTGTGAAAATTATGGCGGTAGAAGAATTATTTAACGTTTAATGTTGCACGAAGGTTCATCACATACAAATAAATGAAAAGAGGAACACTAATTTTCTTTACATTGAAAAAATTCAGAAAAAGAAAAAAAACACACTAGTAAATATGTTAATTAGCGACAGAATTTGCATCAGATCATATTTCGACGCAAATTTAATGAAAAGAGGAACACTAATTTTCTTTACATGGAAAAAATTCAGAAAAAGAAAAAAAAACACACTAATAAACATGTTAATTAGCGTCAGAATTTGCATCAGATCATATTTCGACGCAAATTTTGCATCAAATTTCCTTCTATTAATCATTGAGCGCTGCTATCTACTGAAAAATTGGATGCAGTGATGAATTTGTGTCGGGTTTGGGATCGATTTTGTGTCGGATATTCTGACGCTATTAAATAACTTAGCATCGTTGGAATTGTCCGACTCAAATGGATGCAATGAATACGCTATTAAATAACTTAATATCGTTGGAATTGTCCGACTCAAATGGATGCAATGATGAACTTGTGTCAGGTTTGGGTTCGATTTTGCGTCGAATATTATGACGCTAGAATTGTCCTACTCAAAGGCGAACGCAAATGTCCTAATATTCCTTACCCGCGTGACAGAGCCTCATTTGTACCCCCACTCCTTCTCCATCTCCTAGCTCTTATGATTCCGGCGACTCCCGCATGTCTTCCTCTCCACCTTGCTCTCCAACAACCTGAGCAACTCTGGTGCGACTTCCAACTCACAGCTCCGGCAAGAAAACCTCCTCCCTGAGCTTTACGTAATTTTTCTTTCTCTCTTGAGTCTTCCCTCATCAAATTTGTGATTTTTAAGTTTCTATTTAGGGTAAAATTGATGTTTCGATGTTAGAATTGTCATGGATAGAATTAATATGGTTATTATATGAAATTTGAAGTTTATGTGTTAGATATCTAATGCATATTGATTGTGTGATTTTAATGTTAAAAATGAAGTTTAGGAGTTACATTTGTTAGCCTAAAAAATAGAAGCATAAAACTAAGCTTGTTTTGCAAATAAGAATGCTTAAGCGGATGAGCGGCTTTAGGCTTAAAGTCAAAATGCAAACAAATATATCTGTGAAAGGGTTGGTGTTGGGTCGGTGGTAGAAAAGATTAGAAATAGTCAGCTTAGTTGTTGTCTTGTCACCATAAACATCAACAATCTGATAATCTTATCTGGACAGTAGATGTTTTAGATTAGACTTATGTCTAAGAAAGATTGATGTAGATCACCTAAAAAGACCCGAGCATGTTGTATAAAAATGATCTTAATCTATTGATTAAATAAAAATTTGACACTCAATAAGACACAATGGAGATAGAATATTCATGTACTTGCCCATACATCGTGGGAAAAAAGGCTTTGTTGTTTGGTCACTTTAAACGTCAACTATCTAATAACCATATTAGAAGAGTGAATGCTCTAGATACGACTTGTGTTAAGAAAAGGTAGGGCCTGTTGTATGAAAAATAATTGTAATATGTTGTAATTAAATGAAAAAAATGACAGTCAATATGACAAAATGAAAATAAATAAAATTCATGTAGCCGACCCCACTAAATTTGTATGCATGTAATACAAGTGATTTGTATGGTATGTACTACTAATATCTAATTATACTGATATATAGAGTTACATATATGTTGCAGATAGATATTTAAAACGTGAGATCATGAATGAATAACAGATTGTATCTAAAAATAAAATGTCTCATTGACAAGTGTTTAGCTTGTGTTGAGGAATTTGTGCAGATGACATCTCAGTTGCCCATTTACCTTTAGAAAGACAATTTTTGTTGCCCCTATGTGAAGCACAAGAATAAAGCATACATGACGTCTGACGAAGTGAAGTTGAATCTATATCGTAGGGGATTTAAATCCTATTATTAGTATTGGACTTCACATAGTGAGCTTGAAGTAAATGTTCAGTATATATGATTATGCCGCTG